TGCGATAATTAAATAACACTAAAACTTTCAAATTGAAATATTTCTAAAATAATTAAGTGGACCATAAATCAAAAATTAGTAGTTCGTAGGCGTCTTTGGAAACAAATTTTATTTTTGCTACTGCCCTCATAAACTTTTGATTTAACGCTGCGCTTAAATATACAGAGGCACATGTAATTATATTTGTGAAATGGATGTGGGAAATTACAGATTTCAGATGAAGCATTTTATCATCGGCGACGTCGCCCGACCTGGAAATTTTATAAATTATGCATAATGCAACTTCAAGTGAGATTCTCTCGATTAGTTATTGCTCCAACTTGCGGCCGACCACACAAAACGTGTTTCAATTAATGGGGTCAGTGGACTACTGTTGGGAAAAATCTGCTTAATGTAATGAGTTAGTCAGAACAATGGGAAACCTTTTACCAGGAAATTATAAAAGTGGCTGATAGGTTTAAGCTCTTACAAGGGTAATTCACCGTGTGGCTTAATACTAACTATTTATAGATTTTATGAACAGTGCAGATTAAAATTGCGCAATTTTCATTGAAGGTAACGGAACTTTCCTAAACTAATCAAAATGTTACATGCTTCTTAATTTTTAAGGTGTACCCGTTACTCGTAGAGTAAAAGGGTATATTGTATCCGTTTGAAAGTTTGTAACAGGTAAAAGAGAGCGTTTTCGACCCTATAAAGTATATATATCCTGGATCAGGATTAAAAGCCTAGTCGATCTAGACATGTTTGTTCTATCTAATAATGCAGATTGCTTGGGTTCCTGTGCAGTGCAAGTTTGTTTCAGCCGAGCGCCACGCCTACTCTAACGCCCACAATCGCTCTAAAGGACTGGCGCCCACACCTTTACAGATCACTGTGGACGGCAGTCTACGTAGTGACGAAGCGTACCAGGGTTTTATAAAAGTGTTTATGTCATTTGGTTGTGTTTATTAATACTTATCAAAATGTAAAAGAAAATCGGACCATTCATTAAAAAGCTAGCACACAATGATATGTAGAAAGCCGCTTAGCTGCTTACATATCTCCATATCCCTCGCATTTTTATTAGCTGAGTAACGGGTATCTAATAGTCGAGGTACTCGACTATATTGTTTTCTCTTGTTTAGTTTATAAATGGCAGTAACCCATAACGTCACTGAAATTATGATTTTTTCTCTCCAGACCCTGAGTCACCTTGTCCCATTGAATTGCAACAATTTCGCTCTGCCTGTAAAATGTATTCCAATTTAATTAATGCCAAGTTTTTCAGTACACGTTGAATTCATTTTCAGTTCAATTACTATGCGTATAGGCGATCATGTCTTGTAGGAAAACGTACATATAAGTATGTGAAAGATTCTTTTCTATGCAAATAGAATAATTTTAATTAGTTGTAATAGCTTTCGTGGGAATTATCTGCGGACAGAGGCAGCAAGGAACACTATGTATTATGACTGCAAGAGTAGTGCCACATTTATAAAGGCATATTACATATTGTCTGGGATATGGTAAATAAAAAACGAATTTAGCTTGCTTACATTCAGTCACGTGAATAAATAAGATACACTTTTACTTGTGTAATTAATATTTACCCCTATATGTACCCATATCTGATCAGTTTACATCTTGATAACCCCGGCCAATCCGACTTCTCTTACGGCCACCTGAGTCGTGCGTTAAAAACAAAAATAAATAAGGCAACGATTAAGCAAATAATAATATGTCAAATAATTTGAAATGAAAGCAGCGGCAAGGGATAATGCCAAACAGATAAAGAAAATAAAGAAACACTTAAACAAATAGACTAGAAGGCGAATGCGAAAGCAAAATAAATGCCTGGGTGACGCGCAGAATGAGTATTTCTTGGCTGCCTGCGCTCTGCTTTTTGGCAAGTGTACAATTGAACATAGATTTTCTTGGCAGCACGAGAGTGATACTATGCGAATAGAATACTATACTACAGTACATCAATGAGTGTAGTGAACTCATTCTCGTTCCTCCTCTCTGCGCCCCGGTAAACTTGAACTTGACTTTGGTGAGAGCCAGGAAATGTATCTCACAGATGAGGACAAGTGCAGTTGCCAGAGAATCGAACGAACACAAATACTACAAGTTGGACACCACACCGACTATTAATAGATACCCTCGCAGCGTTCCTCTTCTTCCTGTTTGAGCGGAAATCGAGTCAACCCACCAGATTCTTCGCAGCGAATTCTTTTGTAGTTCTAACTCGGCCCTTGCCACCTACACATTCTGCAAAACAGCGAGTTGTTTCTTCGGGCTTATGCATCGCCCCGAATCGGCCCATTAAATATCCAGAAATCCATAATTAATCAGCACTGGGATATTTCCAATTTTCAATTGTTTGCCCGCCAAAAAGTATTCGAGCATTCTGCCGATTTGATTTATTTCATCGACAGCCTGTGTGTGTTCGTGGGTGTCGTGATTATATAAAATTAAATTGCACAACTAAATCGGCGAAGCAGCATGAGATCGCAAGCTGTCTAGTTTCCTAGTAATCACCAGCTGCAAAAGAAATGTTAAAATGAGTTTCATTCATCCTGACGCTGGTTTAATGGGCTCCAATGGTAATGTCCCGAGTTCCATGGAGGAATTGGATTCAAAATCGGAGAAGGATAAAAGCCCCCAAAATGAACGAGTAGAAATTAAAATCGTGATGATCAAAGTTCAGGTGATTTATATGGTAGTTTCCTAAGTTCGGAAATAGCACTGTGCATTATTTAAACATTCCCCATTTATCAGTTTTTAAGTATGTACTAGTCATAAAAAAAGTATTTAAACCGATTTGCTTTTCTGGTAAAATAACAACAAAGAAGACCACTGTAGTCGAGTAGCTCGACTATTAGATATCCTATACTAAGATAAACGGAGTGCGAGGGAGATCGACATTTCATTATTTTCTCATAACTTTTAAATGAATGGTCCGAATTGGTACTCTAGGACTACGAGTATAGTTAAAAGGATTAACTCCTCGGCTCGACTAATAAGTTTGAAAAGAATAAGATACTCTTAGATACGAACTCTTAAAAAACAGAGTTAAAAGTTTTCAACATAATTATTTTTTCATAAATTGTTATTAGATGAGAAAAGAAAGCAAGTATAAACGAAAATCAATCAAAGACTACAGCAAAAACACTTTTCCCGACTTAATAATTGGATAGAGACACGCCTCCCACAAGATACAGCCAGAGCTCAGATCTGATTTTATTTAAACTTCTGTCTGCCCCAAACTTCCAAACTCGTTTAATTTTTTCGTACATCTTCCATAAAATGTTTACATGGGTAAAAAACTTTTCGTATTGCCTTTGTTTGCCGTGCCACACGGCGTATACGTAATAAAAGTAACATCACCAGCAACAGCAACAAGAACTTTCTGGCTAATTTGTTTGTTGCGCGTGCCAATCGCGGGTCTCCCTTAAAATGAAGATACACGCGTGCAATCCTCCTCCATCCCGCCCTAAAAAAACCCCCCTCCCAGCACTCCATTGTTTATGCAAAATTTATTAGCGTACTCCCTCGAACAATGACAGTCGTTGAGAGGCGGTTGCGAGGGGCTGAAGCTGTCGAATTGGACTTGCAAACAAACGAACAATTCGAAAGCTCACAAGTGCATGACACTAACTATGATATTGCCTCTATCGGTCATAATTAGAACAATAGCGGTACAATGGAGCTACTGCTACAAATAATACTTCAGGCTTTGTTTCACGGGCTGTAAGCCATTTAACGGCTCGAGTCTTAAGTAACGAAAGGAAACTAATTAAAAACTTCTATAGAATTAAACAAATTTAAAGTAATATTATTCGGTTCTACATGTGCGTGTTTGCACTTGTACTTGTCCTACCCCTAGTTAATTATTTATCTTAGCAAATATTATAAATGCATTGCTTATAGATTAATAGATCTTTACTTTTTCTATGGACTATATAAATGCTATAATCTGATCCGGTCCGATCAACTTAGAGTTTTGGCCTATTAACTTTTTCCCTGCCTAACAAGTTTATTATATGTATTATGTTCTTATTACCATTTTAATTGAGAAGCAGAGAAGATAGTAACAGGCACGCAATGACACATGCGTCAGCAGTTCGACTCCAACTGGGCTTGATCCCCATATTGACAGAACCACAAAATAACCAATTAATCGAGTCAATTGGTGGAATATTTATATTTAATTTGTCGGGCCTTTATTGCCTCCCATTTGTGGCTAACTGAAATATGTGATAATATAATAAGCGCATTACGAATCGCCTAGAGGAAGGTCCTGGCCAGGACTCCTTCGGCGATAGCTTTTTAACCTTGAGATGGGAGTAATCCACAAAGGGAGTTGAGCAACAGCTGCTCGGCTATATTTATTTTTTAGCTCCGAAAGCTTTGGCTTTAGTTTAGCCCGGATTCAGTTGGTCGCTTCGTTGGGGAAGAACGAAAGTGAAATTGTCGAGCACGTGACCGGCCCCATTAGAGTCTCGTTCGGGAATGGGTTCTGACTGAAGTTCCACCGACAGCGGGAAAAGCTTCTGCTTTCGTTTTCACTTTCACTTCGTGGCAAGGAAAACCGAAGTTCAGCTGGAGGAGCTTTTCATCGCTTTTCGCCAAATCAGTTGCGCGTTGGGCGAACGCCAGCACCAATCGAGCCACTTTATAGCGCGGACGTAGCTGTGTTTTCAGTATTTCAACAAATATTATTCGCCCATTTTGGTTTCTCGAGCTATTTAATTTTCTATGTTTTACTTGGAATAGCTGGGTTGTGAAAAATCCATTCGGCAAATATTCTAAATAAATTAAATGTTTTTTTCGTATTTCTTTTTATTAAATTTAAATAAATAAATATATATATTCTCAATTAAATCACTTTCCCCTTAACCATCAGCAGTTGTCTGTAATAATAACAAACAAATTGGCCAACCAAATAAATTCAAAATAAACATTTAAAAAACAGACATATTTAAAGTGCATCTTTGGGAATATAAACATATATGCAGTGCGTGAAGAGTTTACCAAAATTCTTATTAAATGATCTGAAAGTAGAAATTATTTAGCGAGCGATCCCTCGCACTTTAGACCGATTTCGGACACATTATGCTCACGGATATTGGCAGCAGTGCAAACGGTAACGGTAATGGCAACAGCGGCCATAATATTGGCAATGGTCACGGCCTAGTCAGCGGACTTCATTCGAGCGACTCCTCCAGCGGAATCGGCAGTGCTAGCAGTGAGAAGTTGGCAACGCGCAGCGATGAGGCCAATGCCACAAAGGGCAGCAATGGTGAAGGGGATGCCGACGAGGATGACGATGATGAGGACGAAACTACGGTATATAAAACCCTTACATATTCGAGTGGATTTCGGTGGGCGAATTAGCAGCATATGCATGCGTAATTTTATGCTCCGAGATAATTATTAACCCTCAGCCGCAATCAGAAATCCAAGAGCAAATTATGCGTGTGACAGCGATAAGCTGGGCATAATTTGAAGGGGCTTTAGTTAGGGTAGGTCGACTTGGGAAACACAAAAAGGACACCGAGAAACCCGTCTTTAAAATTTTGATGCAAAGATACAAGGAAAATGTAACAAACAAATTATTTTATTTATTTATGTTATTGAAGTTTATAAAACTAATAGTGCTAATATACATATAGGGGTATTTTCATACATTTAAGGGGTATGAGGAGTTTGTGCACCTTTGTGAAAGGAAAACTTTTGAATAATAAGGCAAGCTTCTTTATTTATATCACAAAGTTAGTTGAGTTTACCTTTATTTCCCCGTCGCATAAATGTTCCATGTACCATTAATGTTCAATATTCTGTAGAGTTGAGGTCATTCTTGGTCATTCAAATTTTTCTCCAAGTTAGTGAAACACCCTATCCGGTGTATTAAATAATATATGGCTGTATGCTGAATCTTCCGTCGAAAGTTTAAGCAACGCAAAGTTTTGAATAAGGCTCAAAACCCACACAACTCCCACAATCTCTGACATCCTGTTTTATTTTTCTGCCTGGCCTCAAATAATTCCTCAAATCCATTCAATTATTTAAACAATCATTCACAGATGCGAATAACAACCCCAAAGGGAACTTTCGCTGGCGCTTTCTTTTGGGTGTGAATAAGCAAATCAGGGAATGGGATACAAATAAAGAAAAAAATGTGGCAAAGGCACCAGCTAAATGAGGCAAATGACCATTTTAAGTTGCCTTTTTCCTTGATAAAAACATTTCTCCCTTTGCCCTGTTATCCCTGTTTTTTTTTTTGGCGAAACAGATATCTTTGGTCTGCCATCTACAGATATTTCACATTTATGTGACTCGCTTTCCCGGGCTTTAATTAAAATCAGCCATCGGTGACGTCAGAAATGCTGCCCTAATTAAGTCAAGTTTTGAAACTAAACACGTTTTCCGCTCAGTTCTTTTCCGCTGCGCTCAGGTTAATTGTGGGCTTCCAGGTGGCTTTCGGCGGGGTTACTCCACTCATTAGTGAGTCTGCCACACGTGCTTTGGAAGTCGTGCGTATTGACTTGAGAATATGAGAAGGTGGCATCGGGATCTGCTTAGCATGCGAATGCGATAAACGTCAAAGTCAGAGCCGTGTAGGCCATATTCTCCCAGATTATGTAAATTTAATTTTTTTTTCTTTTTTCCAGAGCTGTATGCAAATTAGTCAATTCAGGACAAAATAAGGAATACCTACAAAAATGTTTGCAGTAGGAAAAATTCATAAATATATTTCGCTTTCGAATGTTTAGTTTTGTTCGATTTTTCAATAAATATTATGAGTTTGTTTTATCTAGGTTATCTAGGTATTATTATTTCTGTAACCGCTACTCATAGTTGCAACTATAGGAATATCTAAAAATTATTTTTATTTTTAATTTCAAATCCATTATGTCTGTAACTTTGAAGAGCCTTCACACTTGACCAACAAGCGTCTGCGATGCTATTTGGATAAGATTTCTGTGACCCCTGTGCAACTTTGCCCAGGTTCAGGTTCAGGTTCAATCGGTGGAATCAGAAGAAGAATGCAAATCGCTCAGTACCTGTCCAATTAACCCGACTCCAATTTGCCCCAGGTAATTTCCTCCAGACAGACACGCGAATCCCCTCTCCGACTCAAGCAATCAGCGAAAATTTCCAATTCATTTTGTTTAGGGCTCGAATATAAAGGCGCATGTCTCAATGGACACAATTTTCCGTTTCGTAGACCAAAGTCCGATTCAACTAGTCTTAATCGTTTATCCAACTCAACAATCGTTCGCAATCCCGTATGTAAACAAAGCAATTTGTAGGAGGCTGACAGGGACTGCATTTGCATTTCAGAGACTTAAGTGGTCCATGGCTGAATCACCTAATCAACTCTCTACATATCAATTATAAATATTTTTTGCACGGAACATATATGGTCTGCATTTTTTTCGGACTCCCCCTTTTGTCATAAAAACATCCAAAAATGTTTATAGGCTTGTCACAGTCCTGAAAATATTGCCCAAATAAACACAGAGTGAAGTATGTTGTACAGGGCAATCAGTATGCCAGTATGGTCTGAAAGTTACGACCCACAAATCTAAGCTAACAAGCTATAGTTAGTTTGGGGCTTTTATGGAGGGTTTCGGGTTAATAAAGACTTGCCGTTAGGTACCGCAGAAATCTCCGTCAACAGAAAAATATACGTCGACCTGTCAATTTTCGTTAGTCTTTAAATTCCTAAAGTTTAATCTTCCTCTAGAACAATTTTGTCACTCCTTACAACTGAGAAAAAAACAATTTAATTCACCAACCCTTCTAAGGGATTTTTTTTCACGATGGGTATTAAGCAGTCTTTTTCCCGTTTACCGTCGGTTTGGGTAGTCGTTTTTGAGTCCTGTTCGACTTTGTTTTTCCCAAGCGCCAAGGTCAAAAAGCACACTGAAAAGTTGCGGAAAAAAGGTTGGCTGCTTCCTTTCTTATTCTATAAAATAGTTTATTATTTTTTAAAGTGATAACCAGATGAGGCTTAACTAAAAGCGTTCAACTCTCAGCTGATTTTAATTGGGTTTTTGTTTGAATTCGAGTCGGGAGTCGAGGACCTTGAGGTCCGCCTCATTAACATGAGAAAAGTGCCTCGAACTTCGTGTCCAAGTACGGCGAACTCAAGAACCCAATAACTGGGGCAGGGGTGAGTTGGGTTGGGTAAGGTAAGTTCTTGGGCCAAGGGCATTGAACGACTTAATGCCGGGGGCAGTTGGCTGAAAAGTGTCATAAAACTCGCCAGCGAGGTAAACAAGAGCTGCTCATAAACTTTTCAAGTGCCTAGGCTGCGATAATCGCTTTTCAATTTCTTCTTGAGAACTTTCACTTTGATTTGCGAAATTTCGCCTTCATTTATTTTGTTGTATTAATTCCGCACTAATCAGCAAAATTACTTTCAACGGAAGGCATTTAGCCGTTTAAGGGAGTGAAAACAATTTGTTAACTATTCAGAAGAGTAAGCAAAATTGCAAGAATCAATTATAAATAAGGAATGGGTATTTATAGCCCTCTTACTCTAGGCCTATTCTAAACTTTTCTATATAGCCGGTTTAAAGACCTCTTTAAGGTTCAGAATCCTTTACTTTCCTGGAGGATTTGCTTTTTATTTTTGGCGAGAGAACGGAACAAACAATAATGGAGCAGTACTCAAAGCAATTACACCCAAAACGGGGAAAACACAGCAACGGAAACCAGATGAGCACCACAAACAAAAGACAAGACAAGACAGTTGTGTAAATAAAAATGAGGAAATAACCACTGGGTGGGTTTGATTGGGTGGACTGCCCTGATGAGTGGGGCGGTGGGGTGAGTGTGGGTGCCAAGGCAATTAAGCTTGTCAAGGTTCCGAAACGGAAGTAAGAGTTGCAGTGCGGCAATGACCGAGCGTGAAAAGGGCATTAATATTCAATTGGATGAATGGTGAATTCTTTGAAAGTGCCTTATATGCGAACTCTCTTGTTTTCTCATCCCATTAAAGCGAAATGATATGTCATAATCATTTTATGTAGCATACATTTCTGCAGCGTTTAACAATTTCTTGGTAATGGTAAAGTCATAAGGAAAACTGTCAGGAAATCAGAAATATATAACAACTACATTTTATAAGCTAGGAATAAAAGTTAATGCCTGTTTGTTTCCTATCTTATACGTGATTAATGCAAAGCACTTAAACGTGATTATTTGGTTTATTAAAATCTTTAAGCGGCGAAGTGGAAATTGAATTTTAACAATTCCCCTCGCCAAGCATAATCTTATTACGAAGGATCAGAACGCAACTCTCCCCTTGTAATTTGGTTTTCATCTTTTCTTTACCCACCTACGCCAGATTCCCATTTCCGATTTCGAATTTAAGGATGCCCAGCCGCAGGACAATTACGTCCTTGGGTGGTTGTCAGCTAAGTCATTGGCCAAGGCCAACTAAATTTAGTGGTTTAGGCCTATTTATGTTTATGACGGTTTCTTCCTCCCAGTCACACATTATGGCTTTCCGTCACTGTACATGTGTATGGTTATATATGGGCACTTCCAAAATGTCGCTCGGGACATTTGCACACCTTTAAAGTTGAAAAAAAATTGTAAAACAATGGATTTTTATTTTAATTATGGGCTTTTCTTTTCACTCTTCCCAAGCTCTATTTTTGGTAAAAATCTTGATTTTGTACCACTTTTAGTTTTTAAGATATCGGTAAAAAACTGCCGTATTCGCTCGGGACAAAAATAGAAGTGGATTTCGGGGAAGTTCATACAACACCAGAAATTAGCGAATTCTGATGGAATATTTGAATGCGATTTTTTTAGAATGTTGTTCAAACATGTCGCTGTGAAATGCTTTTGGTTTCACTCAAAAATTCTATGCCGTTTTTTTTTTATGCAGTTTCAACCACATTCGCTCGGGACATGTCGCTCGGGACATTTTTTCCGACTGTTTTGTAAAGCGGATTTCTTTACCTCTATCTCTCAATTGCTGGATGTTTTGCTTTTAACTTAATAGTTTAGTATGTGAATGAAGCATTCAGTACAGAAAAATGTCACATATTAGCATTCCTATAGGATAAATTAACAATAGAACCCAGGTCCAAAAAATAACAAAAAAATAGCCAAAAACTGATTTTTGCGTATATTGGTGGGGTTTTTCATAAAAATGATCAAACTATACTCCAAATTTGTAGTTAAGTTCAGTATCCAACTAATTAGAAAATAATATCGGGGCAAAATCATGTGGAAATATGTTTTATTCAAGTTTCAAGGTTTTTGGCTTGGTGGACTTTTTTTTGGAAGTGCCCATATGTTGTTTCTGAATGCCGCTTAGTGAC